GGGAGGGCCCTGGAGGAGGCCAGGCCCTGGCTGCCCCCTCAGAAAGCAGGCCCGGGCAGCCCTGTGGCAGGGGCCTGCGGTCTGGGGACAGGCTGCCCCAGGGCACGTTCAGCACACAGCCCAGCTGGTGGGTGGCCGGGCCCTTCGCCCTCCCTCCACACAGGGGAGGGCTCACAACCTCTGCCCCTCAGCCTGGGAAAGTCAAGTTAGGCAGCCAGCTGGGAAGGCCTCCCTAAGTGCTGGAGTGGGCACACCTGGCCCGGCGGATGGCTGGAGACAGGCCGGCGGGCATGGGCTCTGGGGTGCCAAGGCTGGCCAGGTCTCCCCGTCGTTCACCCATGTGGCCTTTCCTGAGCTCTGCGCTCTTCCCGCCTCCCACCAAGGCCTGGCTTCAGACCGTGTCCTTGGACCCCGAGGCCCAGGGCTGGGGGGCCTGGGGTGGAGCCAGGAAGACCCCTCCAGGCCCCAGGCGAGGGGCTGGAAGAGCTGAGGAAGACGAAGACGATGAAGGCTTCTCCCTGTCTTTTTCGGAGCTGGCGGACCTGGCCCAGTGCCCTGTACCTGACGGGGTAGCAGTGGGGTGTGGACGTGGGGTGTGGGTGTGGACGCGGGCCGGGGCCGGGGCCGGGTGGGGATTGCTGGCGGCTCCTCCTGCAGGGAGGGATACTGGGAAGCCAAGGCGGTGGCCGCCAGGCCCTGTGAGGGAGCTGGGTGCGAGCAGGGGCGTTTGCCCAGCCGCAGGAGGAGCGTGCCTAGTCCAGAGAGAAGGTGGCTCCCTGGGGCTGAGTCGCCTGCCAGGCCGGCGGAGGGCTCACCTTGGGACAGGCTGGCAGGAGCCAGAGGCCTGAGCTCACACTGGTCTGGAGCAGGCCGAGGAGCCACCAGAACTGCTCTGCTCTCAGGAAGACGCCAGAGAGGAGAAGGGTCTCAGAGCCTGGAGGTGGCTGAGCCCCAAAGCCACAGGTAGGAAGCTGGGGCCCCTATGGGCGTCGGGTGGCTTCCCATTCTGCCCACCCCAGGTATCGGATTCATAGCTGAGACGGTGCCCGGGGGGGGGGGCACAGCCTCTATGGAGGCCAGGGTGGGGCGAGGAACGGGCTTTCCCCATGGAGGTCTGACCGCGAGGCCCTCCTTCTGCAGGACACCCCTTCCCGGAGCTCCCCAAGGAGAAGGTGGAGGCTGACCACAGATCCATCTTTGTGGGCAACGTGAGTGGGGGGGCAGGCAGGTGATCCCATCCTAACACAGGCCCCAGACACTCAGACCCCTCCGCTGGACGGGCTGGCCGCCCACCCCAGGACCCCCTGCATGGACACACGGAGCTGGCCCTGTTCCTCATAGTGGTCAGATGAGCAGGAGTCTATCTGTGCTGCAGACAGAAGTCCCTCCAGGGCCCGTGGACAGCTGGGTGTGCCGGCACACCGTGGGCCTGTGTGGGCCTGCGGGCTGTGTGCTGGCTTTCACATGAGAGTTCCTACTTTGTGATACTGGGGTGGGACTGGGGAGGGACTGGGGAGGGA